ACAAAAGGTGACCATTAAAAAGAGTTTTTTTAACGGTCTTTTAGGCCTTGCCATTCAACCATGTATACAAAAAGACTTGGTGAATGAATTTGGTATTCCTTTTCGAACTTCTATTTCTTCTATTACAGTGAGAGTAGAATATCGGTTATTTCCCTTTTTTCAAATTGTTTTGTAATGTTTTTACTTGCCAAAGATCTATCCGAAATAACATCTCGAGGTAAGGTCTGCATAGTCCTTAAACACGTCTTAGATAAGCTTTTGATGAGTTTAACAATAACATACTCAGTGTAATCCCACAAGATGTGGTCTGAGAAGAGTAGAGTGTACGGGACCGTATAGCTATGAGAGTATTTTCAAAAGAACCCCAACTCAAGTAACAACAAACACTAACATACTAGCCGAGAGTTTTGCTCAAAGACAAGTTTGCTAATAAGTCCAAAACCCTAAAATGTCAAGAAGGCTTCTCATAGTTTGGACCATTACCCTTTTTTTTTTAAAGCTTAGTGCCACATTTTAGTACTATTTCTTGAGAAGTAAACAACAAATCTACTGTAATATTACATGTGGGATCTAGGGAGGGTAGAGTGTACGGATATTCAGACCTTATCCCTACTTCTTGTAAAGACAGTGCGTGTGTACAAAACAACTACTCCCTCTGTCCCATTTAATGTGAGGTAGTTTGAATCGACACGAAGTTTAAGAAAGAAAGAAAGACTTTTAAAACTTGTGGTTCAAAATGAATGGTAGAAATTTGTGTGACTGTAAATCATTTCATTAAGGGTAAAGTAGACATTTTATAGTTAAATTGTTACTTAATATAGAAATGTGTCATTCTTTTTGGGACTGACTAAAAAGAAAAGTAAGTCATATAGATTGGGACAAATGGAGTACATCATACTTAGTGGAATCTAAAAAGAATAGAGTAAAGACAGACTATATCTTACCCAATTGTGAGGTAGAGAAACTATTTCTGAAATATATGCGAAAAGAGACATATTCAATATAATCTCACATGCGGAGTCTGAAAATGGTAGAGTAATAGACATATCTTACCCTACCTCATGAAAGATAAAGAGGTAGTTTTTAGAATGTGTATACAACAATAACATGCTTAGTGTAATCTTACAGGTGGAGTTTGGAAAGGTTAAAGTATAGGCATGCATACCTTACTCTTATCCCGTGAAAGATAAAGAGCGGTTGTTTCCGAACGATCCTAGGCGCGAACGAATATGCGTGTGATACAACATGGGAAATCTAAATTACCCATTATTTCCATTGTCCCACATCGATTATAAAACACAAATAGAGCCACTTTATAAGCTCTCAACTAAATAACAAGTATGCTGAGCTTGGTAACTCAAGCTTGTAACTCAAGTGAGGGCATTAAGGTGATGTGAACAAAACTAAAACAAATGGTGAAGTCTCATGTGGGTGTTATATGGACAAGCATAGATACTGGCTTGTTGTTTAGCAGTAGGAAGAGTTTGGTTTAGAAGATGCTCATGTGTAGCACATACCTCTTGCTGTCTTCACAGAGCAGCGGCACTTCCTCTTGCTCTCTCAAAGACCACGTTGCTAACAAGTCCAAAATCCAATCCAAAATGTACTTCCCATAGTTTGGACCATCACCTTTTTATACGTTTTTGGATGCTGCTACTCAACTCTAAACCCCAGTTCATTCATAATTTTATGGTTTATAGAACTCTACAAGATGTGTTCGTCTTGTCAATTCCAATTAGGGTACGTTTTTGGAGGTAGTTCATGCATAATTTTATGGAACGTGTTCGTCTTGTTAATTCCAGGGTACGTTTTTGGAGGCTACTCAATCCTAAACCCTAGTTCATGCATATATAAAGGATATTATATTCACTTAAAAGACATCTTGAATATTCCGTAAACTCTTGGAATATTCATAAGGAGGTCAAAATATGTCAAGACTCTTCTTGATAATCAAATATATAGAAGATCCACAAATTATTTCATGGAGATCAAGTCCAAACCTTCCTAATTCGAGAAATATGTCACTGCTAATGGTCCTCGAATCATGGAGAAATCTTAAGAGAGAAGAAATTAAATCTCAAGGGATAAATAGATTTGTACGCGCAATGTTTATTAATAAAATTATATTTCTTTATATTTTATTTGTGACTGTAATTTATTTTTTATCCCTTTAAAATTTGGCGCAAACATATTTGTTTAGCCGTAATTTTGGATCACTTATAAGCATGTCTTAGTTTTTTTTGGAACATCTCCTCTATTTGGAACATCTCCCGTAATTTTGGATCACTTATAAGCATGTCTTAGTTTTTTTTGGAACATCTCCTCTATTTTTTCTGGGAAAAAAAAAGAGCAACTTTCACATATAACAAACATAAAAATCATATTTGTATGTTATAGCTATAGTTTGCATAATTGCGCTCCATAGCAAATTTTATGTTTGCTATGGAGTTTTTGATTTGTATAATTCGCTACAAACATTCAATTTTATACAAATTGTTTAGTTTTGTATAAATTCATTTATACATTGTAATTTGTATAAAGATCTGTGTTTGTATAATTATAAGTGTATAGGATGAAAATATATGTATTTGTATTTGTATATACACTTTTCTCTCATTTTATACAAACACAAACA